GGGATAGCCGGGGGGATTAGGAGGGTTTGGAACATTTTAAGCGCATTAAGGATTAAAAAAAGGTCAGAATGTTTAGCAACATACCGATAAACCTCTTAAGCGAAACCCAATTGGGAGGCTGTACCGCGTTATCCTGTGTTTTGGGGAGGAGAGGAGAGGAGAGCTGAGGGGGAGGAGGAGACGGAGGGGGAGTGGTGGAGTTGACATTTGTTCCAACAAGGAGGGGAATCTCAACACATACTGGTAGTTACACACATGCATGCTCACACATATGGACACATGCTGGTTTGATGTGGCTACAGAGTACATTAGCTCACTTGTTGGTTTTCATGTTGATGTTGGCAGTGTGCGTGGTTGTACCGCACATACTCACAAATGACAAGCAGTGTTTATGAATCTGTCAAACAGCGATGTGCCACTGCAGAGCCCACTTGTTACTTCTTTCATTTTTGATCAGCGATGACCAGCAAGATGTATTTTCATTGTCAGGAGACGATATGAAGATTCGCGGTCTCTCACTGTTTTATGTCTATGTCAAGAGTATATCAATTAAAAAGAAAAAATATAGGAAATATAGGAATAATACTCAATAATATGGATTATTGAGTATTGATTTAAATGTTCCAAGCGAAATAATCATCTTGAGCAATGTCCTGACACGTTTCAGATTTTCCTCAAATCACAGAGGTCTAGTTAGTTTATATGTCCAAAGGACTGATGAGCTTATGCCGTAGCAAGGCATCTGGCCACAATCCACAGTCGCTACTCCTCCTACAGTGTTGGTCAGAATTTAATCAAATGTACAAATGTGCTTGAGGTCAAGGTAACATGGTTCATTTTATAGACAATAAATTGTAACAGATTAAGCCTTTTTCTCTTTGGTTTAATTGCTTTTACAATCATTGGTGCCTCAGTTTTTACACCTTTGAGCACTTTCAGTTTGTTACTGACCCAGAGTTCTTTCAGGTGATGAAATTTGTAACGGAGTTAGTCCTCACTTGAGTACACACAGCTTTAGCGTCTTCCGATGACCAAAACAGTTGAAAAAGCCACTGAGCTAAAACCTTTATCCACATCTGTGGAACAGATGTTGGATTGATTAGTTGTTTGTTGGGGAGGATTCTTTAATAGATCCATTTGTGACCTTGGAGATTAACAGCGCAGGAGGTAATATTGGGGAAAGAGTAATTAGTGAAGAAAATTTAATAGCTTAGGAATTATTATAACTAATGAGGATATCATATGTTTTTTTTTTAAATGAGGAGAAGGAGAATCCTCCACTTGACCTCATGAAAATTAGGAGGAAAGCCACAGGAATTAGTGCTGGGTGTCAGAGAGATGGTAAGAAGGATTGCAACCTAGAGAGCACAGCCACAGTCAGATGCATGGTGCTGTATGTCAAAGCCATGATGAGTTGGGTTGTGTGGATTGTAGCGGAGTTGTAAGAGAGAAAAGTCTGCAATCAGCAATCAGACAGTATAAAGAACCAGCACAGAGAGAAAGCAGATGCTCAGCTAAAACTCACTACACTATTTATTTATTTAAAATTTAAAAAATTATTATTTAAAATGATCATAAACTAATGATTAAAAATCCAAACATTTATATATAATTAGCACTCATTTACTTTGAGCGTACACCAGCATTTAGTTGTGCAAAGTCAAGTTTGTTGATAACCAGCTCTCATTTTTAGGGACTTACGACATCCCAATTTACTCTTTACTTCCAGGATGTTGCACATAAAAGTGAAATCCAGGGGAAAAATTTAGTGCAAAGCCAATGTTTAGCTAAGTTTTAGTTAATCACTGTGATACTCACTTACCTAAATGGTTACATCAACAGTGATGGATGGGCTGAATCACATAAAGTCCGTCATGAATAACTGTATATATTTGTATATTCATACACTGTTATCAGAGTAGAGTTTGCGTGGGCTTCTCATGTGCACCATCAGGACACAATGCATACACTGTTTTTCTTTGTATGTCGTCTTTTTAATTCACTGGGTTCAAGCGGCTGCGGAGTAGGCTGAAAGGTTTGAAGTCAGAGATGGGTTGCTGGTGGAGGACGCAGAGGGGCATCTGAGGGAGGGAGTGGCTGCAGGACTCTGATTGGGGTTGCTGAAGGGAGGGCTTTAGGGGGCTGCGGTGAGAAGATAAGGGGCTGGATGCGTGGATGGAGGGTGTTGAGTGTGGAGTGGGGGGTTGTGGCTGCTGTCGTAGGCTGCAGCATGCACAGCAGTGATAACCAGACCTCTGTCTTACCTCCCTCTCGTCCTGTCCTCCTCACTCGTCTCTACAGCTTTATGATGCACTGTTGAACTCAACAGTGGCACCTATTTCCAATGAGTGATGTCGCGATGTGTTGTAAGCACAGTCTTAGTAGGCTAAAGAGCCTGAGCTCAGAGCAATAGAGCCACAGCTGTTGATAGCTTCAGTATCTATGTAGGTTATCATATTGTGCAGTTTGCAGAAAAAGATTTTCAAGAGCTGAATAAACTCTGTAGGTGGGAAAATAGTATTATCAAAAGTTCTTTGCTTAGAATAAAAAAGAATACATAAATAAGATGCAAAATCAGAGCGATAATAGGAGTCTCTGTATCAATCGGTCTCATATACTGTGAGAGTTGGTGTGCCCAAAGGCAGTCAAAACCTCAGGGTGATGTTGAGAACAGCTATCAGTTTTCCTGCTGCTACTCATATGTGCCTGTCAGCTCTTATCTATACCATGAGCCTTAGCTTTCACACCTTGACAAGAGCAGAACATGTTCAGGTCATGACAGGCCAACAATAGGCAATTTAAGACAGATGGGCAGAGTTTCCAAGTGCAGGATCTTTCCAGAATGTGATATGTCCATACTGAAAATCAGTTGTTCTCCATTACCCAATAAGATTTGCAGAATATAATTTTAAACCAGAATATGGTATTATCGTTGTTAGGTAAAGCCAAATCCAGGTGATAAGAGCTTCCTGCTGTCACTGCGGTATTGCAGGATGGGCTGAACTTGTTATATTTGTTTTAAAAAAAAAACACCGATTGTGATTTCTGCCATTTATGCAGCAATTATTTGTAACATCTGTCAGGTGGCAGGAGCAGACTGGCTACAGAATAATCCTTCAATTAGTAACTTTCTTAATATCCTAAACAAACAGAACTGAGCATCAGGTGCCACACTTGTTACTGTAAATAATCAACCGTGGAAGCAAATATAAACACAGAACTGATTGTGCATGTCAGTAGACATGCATAATCACACAAAACATGATAATAAGTTGTATGCGCCAATATGATTTCTTGAAGCAAATCCACCAAAGGAAATGTTGGTGTAGGAAAGAGGCTTCGGACATTTTACAGTTTTTCAAAATTCATGCCTCACACGTGAATTTGTGCAGCTTCGTGGCGGCAGCCATGCTTTCTGTATTAGATTGTGAGATATCTGTAAAGCGTATTGTTCATACAGTAACGGTCCATTGCATCTAAGCGCCATATGCATAGTGTGAGAAATAGTGTTTACATTAATGTAGAGCCCTCCGGTGAAATACTACACGACGGTTGAAAAGTCCATTGAAGTGAGGCTGTTTTCTCCACAGCTTTCATTGGCCACCATATATGTTTACTCTGCGTGTGTACCTCAGTGTTTGTTCACGTGTGTGTACGTGTGTGTGTGTGTGTGTGTCTGAATGTGTCTGTGTGCATGCGTGGCGGGGGCGCAGCCTCGTATGTTTGGAGTGAGTGCCGTCAGTTAGCTGGAATGTGGCACTACCGCCAATGCTAAGATGGCTGCCAAGCTCTAAGATGGCTGCCAGGATTACACCCAGCCAGTGAGAGACACAGAAGAGCGAGACATTCTGCATGAAAAGAGAGGGGAAAAAGAAGCTCTCTTTCATTTCTGTGCTCTTTCTTTCTTTCTTTCTTTCATTCTCGCTCTTGTCTGTCTCGCCCCTCTCTCGGTGGATAAGCACTGCTTCGTAGGCAGCGAGACAGGTCTGTTATTGTTTCTGCTCAGTAATCTGTGGCTTAGTGTGGCTGCAAGGCAAGTGCTGCTGGCAGGAGTCTGTGTGCTCTGTTATCACCTACAGCCTGCAGATAAACACCTCCTTTAGCTAGCTTACTAGCTAGCAAAAGCCTAGCTAGGCCTGAATGGACGGCCAATGGCATGAGTATCCCACATCACACCAGTCCAGGAAGTGAACTTGGTCTCAGCCACCGGTCTCAAACACCCATGTGTTTTTCTTTGTGACTTGCACTTTTACTCCAACTATCATGTGAATGAAGCCTCAGTAGACCAGTCATAACAGGTGTGCACAGCTGCACACATGTTAGGTTTGCGTTTTATGCGCTTGTGTTTTCTTTGTTTTTATTTTATTTCAAAGGGACGAGCGTTGCCTCAATTTTATACAATTTTATACTCTGCATCAAATCCCTCTGGACGAGCAGGCTGGCCTGGTCAATGTTATCTCTCGATCTGCATGTGTGTATTTATGTGTTTGTTCTTGTAAGGATTACAACATGTATTAAAGTATGAAGCAAAAATTACAGGAAGAAACAGATTGAGAGTGAGTGTTATGTGTGGTTATGTGTGTAAGGTGTTCTGTTTACGCAGACTAAATCCCTACCAGCAAGAAAGTATTAAATAGGATTAGGGAGAGGGATATGATTGCGTGGTTAGATACTAAATGGCATAGCAGCACAGTGTAAATCATCGCACCTTAAGTCTGGAGGGACAGAGGGAAACAGGAGAGAACAGTCTTAGATACAACACTGTCACACAAAAATGTGCGAATTCACACGCACATACATTCGCAAGATGTATACCATACCGCAGCACATACTGTAAGTCCCTCTTATTCCCTCTCACACCTGAAATATCACATTCTTGGCAACATGAACACACAGCTATGATTCATTGAGATGTTGCACGCTTACCAGTATGTTTTTATTAGTTTCTTAAGCATGCAAATCAGATAATAACCATTAGTCTGTCTCTATCCTTTTTGCAGAATCTGGACAATCAGACAGCTCCAGCCAACAAGGGGACACAGACATCAAGCCACCACCCAATGGTGGGTATATGCACAAGCACGTGCCTATGTTCAAACCCTCTTAAATTAGCGTTAAATTAATTTCACCGAGCTCATCAAGCTTCATCCGCGCTAATTAGTTTTGCTTTAAAACCGAACACCTGAAAATGCATAAGACATGACTGTTCACATACACTGACGATGAGTAGCATGATAAAAGGCAGAATTCAACTGCACAAAAGCTGCTACCAGCTGCTGAATGATTTTAGATGAATTCGCCATTGGTACTCAAGGATGATTTGCAGAAACTGGTCATGTGGCTGTAACATGAAAAATCATCAGGCTAATCAGGCATCGAACACAGGTGTATTGAATCCGTGACATCACAGGTTCCCAAAATCAATTTCCAAACTAAAAACCACAGTTTTCAAACTTTTACCTGGCTCAGCAGCGTTTTCAGGGTCCTGATGCAGCAGAATAGTTTGAATGTTAGGTATAAACATGAAATTGCAGACTTAACAGGAGGGACGTTTTACAAACTGACCTGTTGCAACGGCAGCATCCTATTACAGTACCAGGATTATATTCAGTGAGCTCCTAAGGATGACCTGTTCTTTGTGCTTTATTGCGTTGTTCTTCATTTCTATGTGCTTTATTTTAAACATCTGAGATGCTGGGAATGAAAACACCCGAATTCATAAATTACACACTTTAATCTATGAATTCGGGTGTTTTCCTTAGTGTGGGCCCATACTTTAGTCCATACAGTGTAATTCAATTGCGTATTCCCATAGATGTTGCTCAGCAAACATAGTTAGAGATGGAGTCTCCTGAGTTTCAGTTTAACATTTTTTGTGTTTTTGTGTGGGGAGGTGGGTTTTTCCCAAAGCTTTTGCGTGTATTTGTAAAAGCTTGATTATTTCCTCAGGCCACCTGAGTTTCCAGGACTGTTTTGTCACCTCAGGAGTGTGGAATGTGGCAGAGCTGGTCAGAGTGTCTCAGAGTAAGTAGAAAAACCAGATCACGACACAGACAAAATGCCTGCACATGAGTAATTACAATACAATGCATTTGTTTCCTCATTGAAAAAAAATCTACTGCAACAATGCAGCATAGCATTTTGAGCATATCCTCTTATTTCATGCTGGCATATTTCTCGCTTCCCTTTTCTTTTCTCCCCACATTCCTTTTATATTTGTCTCCTTGTCAGCTCCCGTAGCCACAGCGTCGGGTCCTAACTTCTCACTGGCTGACCTGGACAGCAGCCCCAGTTACTACAACATTAACCAGGTGGCTCTGGGGCGGCGCTCTCTCACCTCCCCTCCTTCTACCAGGTAAATACTCCCCACAGACATGAGTAGTGAAGGCTGTGCAGACGTACAGTATACGTTGCACAGGAAACATCATGGAGAGGTACGGCTGTCTACCATAAGTAGACCGTCTAGTGGGCTGAAACCACCATGTGGCTTTAGCAGTTCTGCCTTGGTTAGTGATGCCAAGGGCAAACTTGAGGGAAGTGTGAAATCACAGTACTGTAATATTTACCAACCGTATATTGCTTGTTATCACAAAGATGGCTACAGTACACCATCTCATTGAAGTTTCTTGTTATGAGTTGTGTGCAGCTATGCACTACGAGTCCAGTCCCAGTCTTGGATTCTCTTTATATATGTGTATGTCTCTCAGCTAGCTGCTCTTGTCTTTATGAATGTGTGATGTCTCTTTCTGCTTTTTACTCTCTGGGTCTTTCTTAACCTTTTCTTTCTATCTTCTTACCTCTGTCATCTGCTGTCACTTTAGGTCTGAGGTGGAGTTGTACGCAAACCTTCCAAGGAGGTAGTTATAAACCTGAGCTTCATCTAAAAAATATAAAAGATACAACTTGGCGAGACACATGCACAGGAAAGCACGCACAAACACTTTCAGAAAGTCGTGTGTGGCTGCCTCTACTTTCTGACTTTGCCTTCTCTTTCTTCCTTTTCCATTCACAGTTTTGACATTCATTGTGCTTTGTCTGCTCCAAGACTTTGTGATTTTGTTTCCCCTAAAATGCAAAAAAAAAAAGTCTGTTTATATGAAAAGTTCTTACTTCTGCTAGGTGTTGTCCTTCCCATCATATATTTTTATTTAAAAAAATCCTACCTGCTCTCACTCTCTCCATTTATCCCTTCCACTTTTACTCCAACCACCAAATATCCTCTCGTGTCTGCAGCTCCACTAAGCGGAAGTCCTTAGATGATAGCGAGCTGGAGAGCCCCACAGATGATGTTTTCTACCCTGGGCGTTCGCCTGCTGCCAGCTCCTCCCAGTCCAGTGCGTGGCCTAATGACATGGAATCAGGTACCCTCCTACCCCACCCCACACCTATCCCTTGAAGCATCATGAAGCTTTTGCACTTTCTGCCTGATTTGCACCCCCAAGTCCAAACTGATCCCTCCATCTGACTTTGTCACTTCTCCCTACCGCAATCTGTTGCTGTCACTGTGGTGATGTACTCAGCCCTGGAGACCACACATACACCTCCACTCACCTTTCTTAAGGCTCTGTGGCACAGTCTGATCACTCTACTTACAGATACACACAGTAGTTAATTTGCTCATGCTTAGTTAATATATTATTGAAAACAATGGCTGTGTTTGACTAGGATCTGTTTGTATTTAAAAGTTTGGTGTGAAACCATATACTCAAACACGTGAATATAAAATATGTAACCTTGAAACAGAAAATGTTTAAAGTCACATGTCTCGCATATGACAGAAATGCAAATAAAAGAGAGATGAATAATAAAAATGACAATGCTAAATGCACCAAATATTTTAGTTTAGTGTCTCCATTGTTTTGGTAGTAATACTTGTGTCATTTAGCTCCGGACATTTTGCTCTTTATTCTACCTCCTCAATACCTGAACCCCTTTCTTGGTCACTTTTCTTCAAGCATTCATATGTTCTCACCCTCACCTTAACGCCACTATCATGCATACAGTTTACCTGATCTGTTGTCAATTATAAGTGATTCACAACCTCCATCATACACAAATGCTCACACTTAACTCTCTCTCTCTCTCTCCTGTCTATATATCTTCTCCTCTTTTTTCTCTTATTCTTCCCCTATCTCATTGTTAACAATACCCTTCTTCACTTTCAGTGCAGCACCATTTGGCGAGTGTGCAGGAGAGGAAGATAAAACATGAAAACGATGGCGTGCAGTTTCCTTACCATGGTTAGAACAACATTGATTACACTCATATTTATTTACTATTTATCAGCTTTTATGTAGCTCAGTCATTCCTCTGTGTGTATGTATAAGTGTGTGTGTGTGTGTGTGTGTGTGTGTATAAAATATAGATAGATAGATAGATAGATAGATAGATAGATAGATAGATAGATAGATAGATAGATAGATAGATAGATATACACACACATTATGTGTGTTTGTGTGTTGCATAAATGTGGGGAGGACAACTATAGCGTGCTAAAAGTGTGTAAAACTTTCATTTGTGTTTAGCTGTTTACTAACTGATGTCAATGATGCTGATGAAAGTTTCATTTTTTGTGGTGTAAAGTGCCAGGACTGTAAGGGAATATCCAGTTTTCTGTCATATTTATATAGTGTTACTGTGGTGGAGGGTCATAATAAACATGGGAAAAGTTCCATATAATTTGATCAGTCTGTGTGCAAATAATCCGTGTGAGCCAAAAGAGCCAACTGTTCTGTTTTAGACAATTTTTTTCTTCCCCTTAGCTCATTTTTTGTGAGAGTAGATATCCCTAATATGCTCAGCTTTGAGCATATTTAAACTGACAAAGCCAGTTGGAAGAGGTTTGGCTTAATTGGAGGTGGTAGGGAGCTAAATTGTTTTATTTTAGTCAGTGGATGAAATGAGGGTGAGTATAAGATAAAAAAGCATTATTTTGAACTGTAAATCATGCAAAGCCACCCTAGTAGAGTCCAGGATAATGCACATGGAGCTGGAAATGTGCACAATAGCTTCATTTAACTAACTGATTTCACCAGATTTCACCAGACTTACACTGACAACACCAGCAGGCATATTCAGTGGCTGCACCCACTCTGGCACTCACACACTTGCACAGTGACTCACTCATATGCATAAACACCCACACACAAGCGCAATGTACATAGACGACCACCCCATACTGGGACTCGCACACTTACAACCCCCCTCACATGCAGACGTTCACACATTTAAATACACGCGCTTATCATACTCCCCACCCCTGCAGGTGTTCAGGTGTCTGCCTTGCCTCCATCTCTCTGTTGCTCCATCCCTCCCTTGCCTCAAATCCCTCATTAGGACTCTTCTGTGGATCAGAGGTGTAAAACCCTTCCTCTTGCTCCCTAGTTTTCCCTTCAGCCCTTCTTCCCTGCGTCCCTTCTGTCTAATTGAAAATGTGTACAGCAGGAATAGCCCTGGGGAGGGAAAACATGTCAGAGGAGAAAAGGCGGCAAGAGAACCAGAAATTAGGCAAGTGTAAAAGGAAAAGTGGGTGGTGCAAAACAGAAGAGAGGAGAGAAGATGACTTTGGTACTCAAATGGTGAGAGCTAATGAGAGACAGGGGTTATCACGGTGTGAACTAGAGAAGCCAAGAGCCTTGGTTAGGTTTTGCCCCAGACTACTCTCACTCGAGCCTCAGCGTCTGCTCTCCTGCTCCTGCTCTACTTAGCTGTAAATGTAATTAAGAGGCTGCTCATCAGAGCCACAGCAGAGGTTCCTGCACGCCTTAGCGCACCAGAGCCTTACCTCCCAGCTTTTTCCTCTCTCACTTGCTCTCACTTCCTCTGTGTGTCTATGTGTGTGTGTGTGTGTGTATAGCGACACCCTTACTATCCAGTGCAGCAAACAGCCGTGTACACTTCCTAATGAGTTTGGCAAATAAGTGTGTAGAGTTGCATGCAAATCTGGACCGTTTGCCCAATTAATTTACAAAATCCAGGCGAAAAATTGAAAAGCCAAAAGCTTTTGTAATTGACGGGCTTTTTTTTGTGGATTTGGTAATCATTTTAAATCGTGGCTAGCACAAGAAGCACGAAGGGCAGAATGTGTGATATTTGGTAGTCTGTGTCTATTTAATAAAATATTCCACCTGCCACAGGCAAAGCTCATTTGGGATTTCCTGTTCAGGTGGGGGAATACAAACAAGCAGGCACACACACACACACACACACACACACACAAACAAACAAAGGAACCCCACAGGTGCACCTCGCAGCCTGTCCATAGCACCATTTACTCTTCTTGACTTCCACTATAACCAACAGAGCCCACACAATCAAAGGCACCCAGAGATGTATGAAGACAGATTCAAATAGATCACACAAACACAGCTACATACAGATATCAGTTAGACACACATGCGCACGCACACACACTTGCACAGCTGAAGCTTGGTCCCAGATGGTGTTTCAATGTATGTGTAGCCTTGGGATCCATGAGGATGCTGGAGACATCTGCTCCACAGGGGCATAGAGGGTTGGGGGAGGTTAGTGGAAGCGATTGAAACAACCACGATTTCATATTAGTTCCAAATGATCGCAAATTTTTCCTAAGACACCAGAGACTTGTGGTGGTGGGAGCTTTGCTTGGTTCTTTGAGTTAAGTGTTACAAGCCCTTGGAGGGATACGGCTGGACTTAGGTTTTGGACATATGCGTCTTAAATCACTGGAGAGAGGAGAATTCCCCAACTTTCCTTTACTTCTTTAAATCACTATCTCCTGTCTTTTCCAACTGTGTGTGAGTGCATGAATATGTGTGTGTTTGCGTCTGTGTGTTCTTCAGAGGCGCATCTGGTGGCAGGCCTGTTAGTGCAAAGAGACAGAAGGGTCATCATGGGAACGCTTGATTGGTTGCCAGTGAAATACTAAGGCTTGCCAGAAGAGGAAACAGTGCAGTTGTGGCACACACACACACACACACACACACACACACACACACACACACACACACACACACACACACACACA